TTTAAATATGGAGCCATATTGACGAAAGAACAAATTACAAAAGTGAACTTGATCAGCGTATTTTCATAAGCATAACATAATTCTTCTACTCTTACTCTACAACTAAGAACTCCCAGCACCAGCTCTTGTTGTTCACATTGATTACCTCATTTTCCAAAGTGATTCACTCAAGTAAGAAAAGGACAAGAAAAACATTCTTAAGACTTTTCAGATAAGCATGTTTTGTTGTCTTTCATAAGGCCACAAAAATAGCCGGTTCGTTCACTTCATGAAAATCAGGAGCTTACCTTAGCCTCATCATCGGAAACCGTCCCATCGTGATCATTATCTAGATATTCAATTTTCTTCAGTTCATCCAAAGTTATTCTGAAAATATTAGCGCTTTAAGTGGCACCTCCCGAGAAGCTTAATAGATATATTCTAATAAGGAAATGTGGAATGAAAATGAATTATATAAAACAACTTTATGTGTATGTAATATGCCCAATACCAGGTAAAAATCGACGCAAAAAAAGCCCTACTAAGGCAATTGATACTATGTAAATCTAAATAAAAATAAAATAAACCTTGAATTTTTGAAACTTACTTCCCATCGCCGTTTATATCAATCTCTTTGAACAACTTATTGGCTCTTTCTTTCTTCTTCTCGAGTTTTTGTGCTGTAAAAATATGTTGATTGTAAAAAGTTATAATGATAGTCAATACATTACGCGTGTGTTCTGAGTATAAGTGCTATTGGTATTCGGGAGTTACGCGGAACGCGACAATTTTTGGAATAACCTCGCAAGTTTTCGACACTTCACCTTCCTCTCTCGCTTTTCTTTTTGGGACAGAGGCTTCGCTAAAAATTATGCTCAGACAAAAAAGCATCGCAGAAATTGGGCAGAATACGATGTTTCCCACGAGCGTTCTCTAGACTTTGGCCCCTTTCGCTATGCAACCTTTTTAATCATGCCAATTCTTGGCGAACGACAGGTCACGTTGGAAAAATATCAGACTCACGGATGACTACATCACGAAAACTATGGATCAAAATTAACTAACCTTGCCAAGCCTCATTATGCTTATCTTTCAACTGCGTCTCTCGTTCGACAGCTTCATTTTTCTTCTTCAACAACTCCTCCTTGGTGTTCGCGAGTTTCTCTCGTTCTTCTTTGAGGGGGGCAACAGCTGCTATCTTTTCTTCCTGAATATGGCTAACATTTGATGAAATCCTTCAGAAAAATTGTATGGAGAGAAGAATTA